ACCTTCATTTTTCAAAGCATTGCTATTTGACTTACACTCATGGAAACACCCAGGCCATAAATATGTAATTCCAACAAATTGGCATGCCTCTGCAGTTCATACCCCATTAAGGCTTGGTGTTTCCTTTGTTGGTTTTTGCTACCCTCATGGTATTTTGGAGCCTATTGATAAGAAAAAAAAGGAGGTGAACACAAGGAAGCAGGAGGAGGTACACAGAAAAAGCCACAAAACTCTGGTTCCTATATCCAGGGTCATAAGAGACAGAGAAAAACCTAGCAGGCAGGGATGCGGCATGTCCTCCCTGTAACCCTGAGAGGCCGTAGGTCTTCCCAGCACAGGAAGGAAACAAGCACACCCCTGGCTCAGACCTTGAGCCTGGCATGGGAGGAAGGTCCATGAGGATTGTCAGAAGAGGATGGTGATGTTTGTCTCCTGGATGGTCCAGGCACCTGTTGGAAGAATCAGGATAAAGGGAATACTTTGATGTCCCCAGAAGCCTCTGAGAAAGAAAGCTTTTCTTCTTTCTTTGCATATGAGGGTAAGAAAAATGTTGTGCTTCCTGTCTCCATGTCCTTCCATCCAGTGTGAGGGGGAGCATAAAAGTTAGAGAAAGGAGCCTCCTTGCCCATGTCACCTTCCAGGCCACAGAGGCTACAGAGGGGCAGGGCTTCTACAGTTCAGCTTCTGCTTCCTAGGAAGCTGCCAGGCTGACTCTTCTCTAAGGACACTAGGAAGTAGCAACAAAATTTCCCTTCAGTGTCTTGCCCTTCAGCCCCTTCTGTCTGAATTTCCACCTCAGTGTGGTCTATGGGATCTAGGTCTGTCTCATGCTTTGCTAGTGTCTGACACACACTAGGTGCTCAGTAGAATTTTTGGTGAATATATTAATGATGACTACCAACCAACTGGAAAGATTATGTTTCTTTTCTGATTATGCCTTGTCTGAGCATATCCAAATGACATCTTTCAGCACCCAGAAAAGAAGAGAAAACAGAAGAGACCAGCCAGACATGACAAAAGGGAGGCAAAGGATCCTGAGCACCCCCTTTTTTCTCCAGGATAATCAAACATATCACCAGGGTTGGAATATAGAATAACAAAGCTAGGAACACTCTCCCCCCGCTCTCAGGGCAGATAAGAGGTAACAGAAGGCTTCAGGAGGTTTAGGGGCTCAGGCTTAAGCAATAGCCACGTGGCAAGATTCTCTGGAGACTACTGGTGACAGGGAACTTCCTCTCATCCACCTGAGTTCAATTTTTTAATGTTTTTATTGTAAAAATAGTGTACAAAGGGGTTACAGTTACATGAGTAAGTTAATGAGTACATTTCCTATCGAGCATTGGTAAGTTCAATTTTGAACCTTTATCATATTCTATGCATTGCTCTGAGCCTTGGTAATGAATCTGATGCTCACTAAAAAGTTTTTCCAACATGTAGAAACAAATATTCATTCCTCCTAAACCCATGCTATGTTAAAGCAGGCCCTCCAACCCTGTGATGGAGACACAAATTGATACCTGCTGATGGCATAGCACAGTAGTTACAAGCACAAATACTATTTCCACACAGCCTGGGTTCATTTTCAGTTCTTATCCTGAGGGCATCTGCCCTCAGGAAGCTGTGCCTCACTTTCCTCTTATGTAAAATGGAGACTGGCAATAGTATCTACTTCAGAAAGTCACTGAGAGAAGCCAGAAAGTGAATACAAAGAGCCCAAAGGCACGCCTGAAAGACATGGCTTATGCTGTGTAGAAATGTTTTCCAATGTAGTTTGAAGCAGGATGAGAGTCAGGTCATTGGTGCAGTGCTTCTGAAATTAATTAAATAGGATGAGCCAAGTGATGGGCATGTTATAAGGCAAGTATGTTTTCATGGAAATTAGTAGACAAAGGAAAGCCCTGTTCTCCCTAAGCACACGCTCTTTTGAGTGATCCACTAACAGCTCTCTGTCTTGGGTGTGTGTCCGGCATGTAAGCTGAAATAGAACCGGACAGGGCCTTCCAAGTTCATGTGCAAAGAAAAACTGCCTGTTGTTAAAGCCACTTGCCCAGAGCTCTCTCTGAGAACTGAGAAGGCTCAGTGTTCTCTGCCTTTATTGGACAGTGTTTTTCTGTCTAGAGGAAGGGCCAACAAAAGTCACCTTGCCTCCCACGGGAGTTGTGGAAGCTCCATAAACTGTAGAGCCCTGGGTGGAGGGAAGGGCCTTCTGTTCTGATCATCTCAGGAGGAAACTGCAGAATTCTGCCCACCTAGCGTCCTTCAGAGTCCCTCAAACTCTACTGGAGGTGACTAAAGGGCTCCACTGTGAGCTCACAGCAGCATGGTATACAGTCAAAACAACACAGCTGTGGGCCACAGCCTAAGGCCAGTTTTGGCATTAGATGTAGGGTTCAGGGCTCAAGTTCAGCTACTTGTTCAATTGTGTAACTTCAAACACTCATTCTTGTGTGTGTGTGTGTGTGTGTGTGTGTGTGTGTGTGTGTGTGTGTGTGTGTGCATGCACACAATCAGTACTAGGGCTTGAACTCAAGCCTGGGGCTATCTTTCATCTTTTTCACTCTGGTTCTCTATCATTTGAGCCACAGCTCCACTTATGGCTAACTTTTTTGCTGGTGGTGATTAATTGGAGATAAAGGTCTCACCAACGTACCTGCCTGGACTGGCTTTGAGCCACAGTTCCTCAGATCTCAGCTTCTTTAGTAAGCTAGGATTTCAGGCATGAGCTACTAGTGCCTGGCTCATTCACTCCTTTTGTTTCTTGGTTTCCTCAACTAGAAATGGGAAAGACAGGTTATGACCTCTCCTATTGTTACGTCAGTTGTGGATGGGTCAATGGCAAAGGCACTCCAAAGTCCAGCCTGAGACAATACCGGTTATTGTTATCACAGGCTGCAGTAAGGGCCACACTTCCTGTTGATTATTTCTTAGCTTCCCTTTAATTATGAACAAACATGTACTGAGCGTGTCTTGTCTTTTGTGCTAGGTTAGCTGCCTCATCCACAGCTCTTCTGTGGAGTTTCCAACTCCACCTGAGGACACTTTCTCTGGAGTTTCTCTATCTTGTCCACATCAGACTTGAATCTCTCCTAGACCCAGGATGGTCCCTAGGGCATGCTGTGTGGGCTACGGCTCTATGATATATAGTTGAAGTCACCTTTCTGGTATTTCCAGAATCCAGCTCCATCTCAACTGGGCTATCATGGCCCCAGCCTTCTGCCTCTCCTCTGGGTATGCAGCAGTCTCCTGCTTGCTCTCTTTGCCTCCATCTCCCTCTTTCATGGGCCCTTTGACAGTGATAATTCGAGCATGTTACTAATTTGCTACAGCCTTTCCCATGAATCCCTACCTTGCCTAGTAAACAACACATACTTCACAACAGACAAAGTCCTTCTGTGATTCCCAAATTCAGCTTCTCATCTGAATCACAATGTTTGGAGCCAAACATTAGGACATTGAGCACCACCCTGGAAACCCTCGTTTAATTGGTCTGGGTGTGAGTTTGGCATCTGAAGTTTGTAGATTGCTCAACAACTGCCCCCTTGTTTCAGCCACACGGGCCAATTTCTTTTTCCTCAAACATGTTGAGCACACTAATGCTTTAGAGTAGAACTTGCCAGTCTCTCTGACTGTTTCTTTTTTTCTGTTTTCTTTTTCTTTTTTGGTGGTACTGGTGTTTGAACTCAAGGACCATACTCTACACAAGGCCACCAGACTTTGTTGTTGTTGCTGTTTTTTGCCTTTTCAGATAGGGTCTTACAGGTTTTGCCTGCAGCAAAAATGGGCCTTAGGAGTGTGATCCTCTTTTTTTTTGGGGGGGGGTCCGGTCAGTAGCCGAGATGACAAACATGTGCTCTGTGAGGACTGTTTCTGCCCTTTCATAGCCACATGGCTTGCTTCTTCAACTTTTCACTCAGGTTTTGCCCTCTTTGTGAGACCTCTCTGGGTCATCCATAGAAACCTACAATTCCCATTCTTAACCCAGGAGCTTCTTATCCCCCTTTCCACTTCATGTTTTCCCACAGTGCTTACTATCATCAAAAAATTCTACTTATCTGGCTTACTTAGTATCTTCCCACCCATCTAGAATGAAGGCTCTGTGAAGGCAGAGACTTGTCTGCTTTACACACTACTCTATCCCCATCCCTAGACTAGAATGGCACACGATGAAGACTTTACAAATAATCCTTAAGTGAATACCCAGTCCTCATTCCCGTTGTAAGCTCCCAGCCCTTTCATCTCTCCAGTGAAGTCAGCTTCCATCTGGGCCAAGAACAACCACACGCAATTATATGGTATACAGCAGGTGCTCAATAGATGTCAATGGAACTAAACTGAACTCTTCCCTTTAAAATAACATAACCTCTAAACCCCACTACAAGATCTTTCCTGAAAACTCCAGGTAGAAGTTCACTTCGGATTGTAGCTTTTAATAAAAACTTTAAAATGAAGAGTTTAAAAAGGGGGGAAAGAAGGTGTAGGGGAACTCACAAAAGTTAATGAGATTTTCTCAGCTGTAGTACGTGCCCACATTTTTAATAATTAGGAGTAATAAAAATTCTAACTAAACCTTAAAGGAACATCCTTTGTAACAAAGATAGAAGTCAAGACAGACTTCTCTGTTGGGTGTAATGACTTGTTAGTCCTGGAAAATGAATGCATCTTTAAAAAACTAATTTACAGGGAAAAAATTCTTCATAAAAATGAAACTAATTGGATTAAAATGACACATTAGGGGGAATGCCAGATGGCTATAATACCCTTGAAGGCTAAGTTAGATTATTGGTTCTCAAAATGTCTAATGGGGAAAAAAAATGTCTAATGGAGGGAAGCTGTCTCCCTACACAACAGATAGAGACACTGAATCAGAAGGGACAGATCCTGGCTGAAGTGGGAAAGGGGTCCGGGGCCTGATACCCAGTCCTGGCCCTGTTCCCAACACCGTGAAGACCCATCTCCCCAATAGGCAGGTTGACAAGGGCCCAGTCACGGACTCTGCTCACCCACTGGGTCTGAGGTCAGGCAGGGGCCGGTCGAGGGGCAGGCGATCACTGAGGTAGGCGTTGTAGCCGTAGTACTGGAACTGCTTCAGGGCCATGTGGCGGCCTTCAGGGCTGAGCTCCTGGCCCCAGTGTGCAAACAGAGAGGAGTCTGTGAAGGGCTCAGCCTCTGCCTCCTCAGGCTTGGCAGGAGCCTCTGGAGAAAGAAGGGACAAGGAGATAGTGGGTCAGAATGTATTCCTGAATATGCTACAACAATCCCCTTCTCTTCCTCATACCACACTTAGATAAAACAATCTGAGCCCCTTCATTGCTGGGTGGAAATGGAGTGCAACTGTTTATGCTTCCCACAGATTTATTCATCCATGAGTCTTTATTCCTTCATCTATTTAATAGCCACTAGACACTAGGGATGTAGAAATCTACCCAGCAGGGTTTACCACAAAGCTGATGGAATGTGTGCCGTGTGCCTCATGTCTTCAGCACAAACTCTCAGCTTTTTCCATTCCTGCCGGGGATGCTGTCCTGGTTGGTCCTCCACTGGGTCTCTGCTTCTCTTTCCTCAGCAGGCAACCATCTCCTACTGGTCAGTCCTAAGACTACCACAACCAGCCTAGGGTCTTTACCTCTGCTTCAACCTGTCTGTGCATAACCTTTCCCACCGTTTGGTCCTGCTGAAAACTGGCCCACCCTATGGCACTTAACTGTCTGTGCTTACCACAGGCCACTCCACTTCCTGCTACTCTGATTCTGTTTACCGTGGAGGATATAAGGATTCAAATGATGACCAAACCACCTCCAGTTTGTCACATGCTCTAGATACTGCTTGCTGGGTCCCTGGTGGAGTCGGTGACAACTCATAGTTACCCAGGAACTTCCAAGAACATGGGAAGGACCCAGGCTTCAGATTCAGTCAGGGATTCAAATCCTATTCTACACCTGCTGGCTACAAGATCACACAAAACACTCGCATCTCCCTGAGCTGAAATTATCCCACTTGTGATGTGGGGATCATGATACCCCCCACAGAGATCTGTGCGGATTGCATTAAATAATGTATATGAAGTTCTTAGATCAGTGTATATCTCAGAATGAGTACATAATCAATGGTAATTAAAGTTATTTTAACAAGGGAAGGCCATTTAAACATCTCTTTTATAGGAGGGTAACAGATCTTGCCAGGCACAGCTGCCAAGCCAGAACTTCAGATTAGTTTCTTGGAATAGGTGGTCAGACAAACTTTCTAAGGCTAGAAATTGGAGAAGTTGGACAGAGATGCCTAGCCTACTGGACATTGCCTTTTATGATCATAAATATGTGCGGTAAGTAAAAGATAGAGGCCCATTCCCCAGGAGAGAAAAATCCAAGAAAGCAGGAAGAGGTAAGGATCAGGAGAGGCAAGTGTGGGATATCTGCCTGTGTCCCCTGCACGGAGCCAATATGAACGTGGCATAATGAAAAGAGACAGGCAAAATCAGAGCCATAGACTGCATCTCCTCTTGGGATACTCTGCTAAGGGCAGGCCTGGGAGGGAGGAGGATGCCTGGTAACAAGGAGGATCTCCAAAGCCCAGGTCCTTTCAACATGGAGGAGGTACTCCACTGGTAGGAATCCCTTATCACCAGAAGCGTGTAAAAGCTGTTGTGGAACACATTCCATGATTCTGAAAGCAAGTAGAATGCACTGATTCAGTTAGAGAGTTTAGTGAACAAGAGAAGCAAAAAAAATACATGAAGGGATGGCTAGGTGCTGGCCAGTCTAAGGGCCTCTTCTCTGGCCCTGTCCTCTAACTTGACACACGTGTAACTTCTTGGATACGTTTAACAGCCAGCACTTACTGAGAGCTCCTCTTCCCACGGATCAGACCCTCTTCTTAGCATGTCCCTCCCATCAGTTATCTCTCTCAGATCATCACTTCTGAGAAGATGAAGAAAGTAAACCACAGAGAGGACAAGAAACTGGCCCAAGTTCAAGCCAAAAGGAGTGAAGAAGCTGAGATTCAATCCTGGGAAGTGTATGTGCATAGTGCTTTACTAGCTCTACAGAGAAGCAAGCTTGTCTGCACACATCTCCAAATGCTATATCACCTTGGTTACCATTTTTTCCTAAAGAAATAATGGAAAATCAAATTCATCAAGCAGATCAGGATATGCTGAGGAATGAAATGTTAGATGTGCAAGCATTTCCAAGACAAAGCAAAGGTTTTCAGACCTGTGACGGATCTGCCCAAATATTCCACCTAGAACTGGGGTACCCTTGCTCATCCTTCTTACCTAGAGGGTATATTTAAAGGGAAGCCAACTTGTATGATCTTGAAGGTCCTTGTTATCTCTAAAAAGATGTATGACTCATTCTTTTGGAATGAGGGGAGGTAGTAAAAATCTAAGTCAGTGAACCAACTGAATCATATAATATTTAAAAGAAATGTAGTTTTATTGCTCTCAAATGCCTAAGTGGATATTACCAAGTAAAATGAGATCAGTTAATGAAAAAATTATGATTCACAATTAGACCTGTGTTGCATAATAATGTATTGCAAACATATTGAAGTCCTGGGTTATAGCATCACATGTCCCTACATTTTTACTCAGTTTGAATACAAGTGACCGTGAACCTGAACCCAGTGTGTCCTCAAAGATGAAGTAGTGGCACTACAGCTAGAGGAAAGCTCTTGCCAAGAGCCAAGTACCATACTAGTTGAGTTCTTATCTTCTCTTTTTGTCTTTTTGGGATGGACTCCAAATAGGAAGGGCCATGTCTATCTAGTTCCTATTGTGTTTCTGATTTATAGGAGTGTGATAATCATTTTAAAATAAATTGGTTGATAAATTATCTATAGTGGCTACTTAATAGACATGAGAAGTCCAACATGAAAAGGCAAAATAACTAATCCAAGGTGACCCATTTGTTAAGTATCTTGAACCAATGTCTGGTTTCCTCCAAATTCTACATTTATTCCTCTACAACAGAAGTGGCATATTATGGATCCATTATCCACGACCTACTTTTTTAAATAAAACTTTATTGAAACATCATGTCCATGTGTTCACAAGTTATCTATGGTTGATTGTAGCTATAAGCACAAGGTCGAGTAGGTATTATAGCCCAGGAAGCTGAAAATCCTACCTAGTCTTACAGAAAAAACTTGCCATTTCTGCTGCTATGGATGGAATAGGAAAGGTCTACCATGGGCTCATGGGTTAACCATTTAGTCACCAAAGAGTGGTGCTAATTTGAGAAGGTTTGGGAGATTTTAGGAGATATGATTTAGCTCCCTTGAGGTATGTCTTAGAAGAATATAGCTAGTCTTCAGTCCCCTCCCCATGACCCCAGCTTCTTATGAGATAAACAGCTTCTTTGTTCACATGTTGTTCTGCCTCCCCATGGGCTCAGAATTAACAGAGCCAAGCACTAGGGACCGAAATCTCTAAAACCATGAACAAATCATAAATCTATTTTCCTTAAAGTTACTGTTCCAGGTATTATCATTCCAGTTATCAAATGTACCATGCCGGCCTCCTCCAAGGCTTTCCATATCTTTAGGTATAAAAGACAATGTTCCTCTTGACATCTGCGAGGTCTCTTGGCCAGGCAATCAGAACGCCACCAGTCCCAGTCCTGTCCCTACAAGAGCTCTGGTTTCAAAGCACAGGAGCAGCTTACCTCCAGCCTTGTCTGCCTTGTCTCCCTTGGGGCTAGAGTCCTTCACTGCTCTGTGTTTCTAACCTCTCAGCTAGGCCTTTTTCCTAAGCATCCAGGGCCCTTCCCAATATTCCTCTTGCATCCACCTAGATATTTTCCCATTTAGCCTGCTTGTTGTTTGTTTTCTCTGATGAGAATATGACCTCTCCAAGTTCTGGAATTTGCTTGGCTGAAGCAACAGTAATTACAACAGCATACCAAGTAGGTGCCCAACCAATATTAGCAAAATGAATAAATAGGATAGTATCGCTGACAGAGTGGCCACCAGTAAGTCCTTGCCTGCTGGGGACTTCCAAGGATGAAAGTGCACTGGAGTCTGGGCCAGCAGGAGCATGTAGCATGAAGGTACTGCTAGGGCAGTCATGGTTAATCTCCTTCTCAGTTCACATAAGCAAATGATTGTGTACTGTTATGCAGACTAACAGAACACTCTTAGATGCTGTCAGGTGGGCCATAGAATATGTCACTGGTAGAGGACCTTCACTGCCTTGGTAAATCTTTTATACCAAAGAATTATCTGGCACCTCTCCTAAGTATCCAAAACAGGACTGTGCACAGAGTACTCATCCTGAAAGCAGGAAGGAAGAAGGGAGACAAAGAGGAAGATGGGAGAAGTCTGTGTCTTTTCCCCCCACCCTTTCTTTTTCTCTCATTCTCTCTCTTTTCCTACTCTCATACAGAAGGGCTCAGTACCAGAAGGAACATGAAAGGAGACTCCACATCTCCCTCTTTCTAGGAGCCAGGCACAGAGGGCAGTGCAGTATAAAGACCCAGCACCTCTGGAAAACTGACCCAAGGTACCTTTGGGGTGTATTCAACCAAATGATAGAGCCACACAAGACTGGGTAGAGTACCACATAGTCCCTTTTTTTCCTGAACAAAGTATCCCCAAAGACCCACAGACATGTTGATGCCTGCCTATTCTTCTAAGCCCCCCAAATCACTAAGATGTTCATTATAGAGCCCTTGGAAAGTAAACAGACTGCTGAGAAGGACTCTCTCTCTTCTACACCTTGAAGACAATAGCTGCAAAACAAGATGCTCATGACATCAACAGGAATAAAAGCTGATTTGATTTCCACCCTTTAGGAAACCACCTGAGAGACTCGGGATGTCCTTCCAGGCCTGCATCTGAGAGACATGGGCTGGTCAAAGCTATTTAGCGGGACCTCCAGCACTTATTGTCAGATCTGTCCACAAAAGCTTGGCCTCTTTTATCAGCTAAGCAGATTTACTCTTGTTTATTTGTTTTGCTTTTTTCCTCTGGGTTGTGGGATGGAACCTAGAGCTTTGCACGTGTAGAAAAGTACTCTACACCAAGTTACATTCCTAGCATAAGCAGGTCTACTCTACACCAGATTTATACTGGATATTGAAATACAAAGATTACTCAAACACATTCCCTGCTCTTGTGTAGAATCTGACAGCAGCAAAGACAACATGTAAAGAATGCAAGCAATGCTATGATGGAGGGTGTAAAAAAATGTCATCTGT